AAAAAAAAAAAAAAAAGAAACAGGCATAATTGATTTTAGTAATATGTTTTGTTTAATGGTAGTTTACATTCTTTTTTTATACTAAATCTTACAGCAATTTGTACTATCTTAGGGGTTCAATAGCTGCGTGTGGCCACTGTATGGGAGAGCTAGGGCTTAGATTCTTCCCTGCTGGGGCTGAGTCGTGGAGGGGACCTGTTTACTGCTGTGTTCTTGTGCCCGGCACACAAGGAGGGACCCTGTGATCTGACCAGTGAGCTTGGCAACCTTCTTTTGAGCCTCCTAGGACTGCTATTAGATAAAACGATGTACATTAGGTACCCAGTCCGGTGAGTGCACTTAGTAGGAGACTGATGCTGCTGCTGTTCTCCCACAAAGGCAACCAAAGGGCAGTGGGCCCAAGCTTGCTTCTGTCTCCCTGGGTGAGTCACTTCATCCTAACGGCTTGGTCCTCTTGAGAGCGCTTCTCTAAGATTACAAAATGAAAGTCTGGATTCCAGAGCTGGCAGAGGCCGCGGGGTCAGGCTCTGGGGCAATGAACTCAAGAGCAAGAACCTCTAACCCACGCCCTTGTTATTTCGTGCCTTGACAGCTGGAGGCCCCGCCCCGTCCCGCCCCACCCCATCCCGCCCCACCCCATCCTCCTTAGCCAGACAGGAGGCCCCCCGGAACTACAGTTCCCATGATGCAATGGGAGAGACTATACGCCATCAACTTGCGACGCCCCGGAGGTGATGCGGTATGCTGAGGTGCCTCTAGAAACGCAGAGTTCGCGGGACCTTTGAGGTATAAGGAGTAGTAGGGTGAAGCTGGCTTATCTCAGAGTCTACAAGCTCACCGAGGTCAAGAGACAAACCTGCGGTGCGACGCGCGCAATCTCCGCCCCTCTCTCCAGGGTGGCGCTTGCTAGTGACGTAGTGAATGTGATGGCCGCCGCGAGGCCGGGAAGGTGAAGGTGAGAGGGCGAGCGCACCGGGGTGGCGGGGACCGGCCCGGCCCAGCCTGGCGAGCTCTGTGCAGCCTGGCGTGGGCCGGTGGGACGCTGGGGCGCCAGGCACTTGGGATCTGGTCAGCCAGGCGTCCTGACTTTTCCCGCCTTGCCCCTGGTCTCTCCGCGGCTCTGAGAGGAGGGGACGGGTAGTGGGACCTGGGATTGGGAGGTTGAGTTCCCTGAAGCTTCTCTCCACGCTAGCCTTTCCACCTTTCACGATCACATTCCACCCCGTCCATCCCCATTTTTCATTATTTTGCCAGGGTTTGCTCAGCACCTGATAGGTCCCTACCTTCACAGCGGGAGCGCCCTGCCCTCCCCCGCCTTGGGCGTTTTTTGTGCTCTTGTTCCTTTTGTCTGTTTACTTGTATGACTTCTCGCCGGATTGTAAACCCTCGAGGGTGAGGACTTTCATATCCACCCCTAACTCTGGCGCCTAACACACACATACAGAAGGCACGCAGAAAATGCTGAATAAATAGGTGTTCGGGTGCATGAGGGCAAAGTTGTCTATACCCCTCTCTTGCCCTGTCTTCAAATTCCCAGTCATCTCTCTCACCTCCAAGGGGGTGTGAGAATTGGAGGGCAGCTTCATATAGTTAAAAGCAAATGAGCTTTGAGTCAGAGGGACCTTTGGCCACTTAACTAGCAGTCTGTAATTCTTCCAAGTATCCCAAGACTCTGTTCGCTGTGGAACTGAGAATTATGTGAGATACTTTACAGCACCTGGAACACTTAGGTTTTCAGTTGGTCCATTTCTGTTCTTTATCCCACTCCTTCCCTCCCATCTCTAGTCACCTTTGCCCTGTTGCTGTTTCCTCCTCTCCCCCAACAGGATGCACCTTTACCAGGCATGTGTTTGTGTACTCCTAGGATTAGTCCTGCATTTGTGTGTTGTTTTTCCCCAAGCCACTCCCTCACATGCCAGCCCAGCTCCCTACTCAAGTACCTCCATGAGTAATTTTTCCTCAGGCATGAGTTTGGCTTTAAAAACCTGATTAGACATGTTTTGCACACCAGTGTTTTATGGCCACCTGATGCCATTTCCCTTTTCTTTTTTAGTAAGTCGGGACTGGTGGAGTCAGCACAATCAACGTCAGAGACAGGACAGACAACAACTCAAAACCTTTTCATCTTTTTGACTCCAGCCATGTTCATGATGTCCACCCTGTGAAGATCTCTCACCATCCGAAAAAGTAAGTGGTAGCAGTGACTTCGGGTGCCCTGGATCTGGGTTGAATGGAAAGGGACCTGTTCTTATAGCCTTCTGGTGACAAATGTCTTAGATGGGGCAGTCCTCTTTGTATAGAGCCAGAGCTTTCCACTCTGTGTTGGAGAAAAAAACAAACAAATAACCTACTGTATCTCCTTACTACTTCAATGGAGGATTTTTCTGGTTGCTGAGAGCCTATTTAAAGGTTCACTGTTCAGAAAGTGGCTGGGATCTTTGCACACTTTTATAGCTAGAGATAAAGAAAATTTTAAAAAAGAAAAGGAAGTGTCTGGAATGTCCTGGGCTTCCGGAAGAGTTAATCTCTGACTCCTTGGTTTGGTCTTCTCTGCTGTGCTAGCTCTTCTCCCCTTTTCTGCCCAGCAGAGGTTGGCTCTTTATCACAGGTCTTCTGAGAATCTACTCTGTCTCCTTTACCCTGTATACTCTTTTGTTTCGATTTCTCAGCTTCTCCTCTGTTCCAGTTGTGCCTGCAGACGATCCACGGATCCATTTTATTTTCCCTGCTAGGAGTTGCTGTACGTAGACTGGGTAAGGAGGTGGTGTGGATTCAGGGACTGTGCTTGGGATCTAAATACCTCTTGCAGTGAATTTTGCTGTTGACTTCCCTGCACCCAAGATATCTAATACTCCTCAGCTAATAACCTGGGTTGAGGCAAAGGTTTTGGTCACCTTAGAGTGCTAATAGCAGTTTCCATTTAGAGTTGGGTTTGCTTCTGGTCTTGTGCTACTACTGTGCCTTGGAACTTTTTTGGGATGGGAGTGGGAGATACCAGGACAAATAGACTTTTCCCTAAAGTGTGATCTTTGGGATTTTAAAGGCTTACACAGAAGCATTTCTTTGTTGAAAAAAATTTGTGGAATGCTGCATTAAATATGGTTAAACAGGTGTCTTCACAACAGGACTTCCTTCCCAAACCTTTTACTGTTCTCACATGCTCTGCTTGAGGGGAGTGGTGACATATAGTATTTTACAAATTGTTTCCACTATGGAGCCTTTTTTATTTGAAATGTTGGGTGCCACTAGAGTCTTGGGAACCAAGTTTTGGGAAATGCTGTAATAACTGTCTCAAAACCAGGTTTTGAGGCAGTCATAAAAGTTCAAAGTATAAGTTGGGCATGGTGGCTTACACCTGCAATCCTAGCACGTTGGGAGGCTGAGGCAGGTGGATTGTTTTAGCTCAGGAGTTTGAGACCAGCCTGAGGAAGAGTGAGACCCCATCTCTACTAAAAGTAGAAAAACTGAGGCAGGAGGACTGCTTGAGCCCTGGAGTTTGAGGTTGGACTGTCTCAAAAAAAAAAGTTCAAAGTGTGCTGTTCAGTCTGTAACTAATATTGGAATTGGACTCATGGTCTCAGCTGTGTTTGGGTGATGAGCCCCACGTGAGTGTGTGCCTGCAGTGAGCCCTGTGGTGAAGTAGAGATTATCAGGGCTTTCCAGAGGAGGAAAGGGAACCCAGCTGCCTTCCATCAGTCACTTAGGGAGCCAGCAGTCAAAGCTCCAAGATAATGGGTGCCCTTTCATAGCTTTTGTGCACTTGTTTTGGAACTTTGATCCTTTTGTGCACATACCTATGTCCTTTTCTCTATTGGGAAGGATTGCATTGCAGTATATTAATAGTTTGTTTAACACTTTTGACTCACTGAGCTCCATATACTAAGAAACAGACACACTCTGGGAGGCTGAAGCAGGTGGATTGCTCAAGCTCATTAGTTTGAGACCAGCTCTGAGCAAAAACAAGACCCCTTGTCTACTAAAAATAGAAAAACCAACGCAAGAGGATGGCTTGAACCCAAGAGTTGGAGGTTGCTGTGAGCTATGGTGACGCCACAGCACTCTACCCAGGGTGACAGCTTGAGACTCTGTTTCAAAAAAAAAAAGGGACAGACACTTAGATGCTTAGCCTAAAGCTGCTTTTTGGGGGGGGGGGGTGTAGAAATGGGGTCTCTGTGTTGTCCAGGG